GAACGTGACTGGGTGCTGGCGGAGTGGCCTTACAGGGTGATGGACAGCCGTGGGCACAGACAGACTACCCAGCCTCAAAGTTTCAAGGCTGTGCTTGCGCAGTTCCTCTTCTTCCTCACCTGCTGGGTCCTCTGTCCCCTGCCACCGCAGACCCCCAAGGTCCAGAGCTCTACAGTGACGAGCCAGGAGGCACAGGGGCCACTTCTGCTCACTCACTTGCACCCAAGTCTGTCTGCATTTCGCCCACCAGCTCTTTGTATATGTCAGTAGTACATTCAAGTTGATGGAAACAACTTTGAAGTCTCCATTCTCTGACTTGGACCCTGACTGAACTGAACATTGATTTTCACTTACTTCCCATGTACCTGTCCACCTGCTCCATTGCGTGGTATTTTACAGTTGTTAATGGATGTTCAGCGGAGTTATGCACGAGCAAATACCTGAACAGAAAATCAAATATTGGAGCAACACTCAGTTATGGAGGAGCAAAGAGTATCAGTCAAGGAAGGAAACAAAGAAAGCGGACCATCTTCAAAGGTGGTGATGACTGGCAGGACTTTCTCCTCTCGCCCAGTGTGTGGGTCACAGGGGTCTGGTGGGGGTGGGGTGGGGCAGGGGGTCAGCATTTCTGCCCAGCTCTTGCCCTTCAGGTCCCACAGGGAGCACCCCTCACACAACACAGCTCTAGGTGACTGTGCACTGCCCCTGCTAACAGGCGCATGAGAGACTGCCCTCAGCTCAGACTAACCAACATTCTCTGAATTTCAAAGCGCACTGCAGGCTCAACTGATGCAGATGGGGAAGCCCCTAAGTGGACAGGATGGAGGGATGAGTCACTGTGTAACATTCCAAGCTGCAGAACTCTTTTCTGAGGCTCCAGTTGATTAAGGAATCTGGTCCAATGACAATCATAAGATGTTATTGACCTCCAGTGTTGTTCTAGGTCAGTGCGATTGCTCCACCTCCCAACGTGCCACTCACCTGCTCGCACGGACCTCCCTTCCCTGCCCCAGAGCTACATTATCGCTGCCTCCTCAGACCCTCCGTTTCCATTAATTCTTTACTGAGTTGCTATTACCCTTCACCAGGGGCAGTTGCTTCTTTTCTTTGGTTCTCTTATTCATTTTCTTTTTAGGTTCTCCATTCTCCATTCACATGGAATTCTGAGATTCTTCATTCGTTTTGCAAAGTTGTGAGGGCAAAGTGAGAGGAAGCACCCAAGGCAGAGCTAAGCCCGAGGAGAGATTTCATTCACCCTCTAAAGGGATGGGTGATGTTCTACAATGTAACTTTCTGTACTCAGGGAAAACAAGTCCTCCAAGGCCACCCACGAAGATGCTAACACCACTAAGACACAAGAATTGGGACTTCCTAATTCTGCCTCTCAAAAGATGAACCTGTGTAACAGATGAGAGATGGGATGACAAAGACAGTGGGTTACCTTTGCACAGGTACCCCGCTGTGTCCATAAGGGGACGGTGGCATCGGGCTTAGAGGACTAGCATGGATGTAAGGTCTACAAAGAGTAGATATTACATATGAAGTGAAACACAGAACTTCTAGAAGGTGGCTCTTTCCAGAGTTGGCAAATATACAAAAAAGTAGAGAAGATTCAATGATCTCTTCCCAAGAATCCCTTTAGGGTAAAGTCCAAGACCTGACATGGCACATGGGACTCTGGTCTGATCTCTGCACATCTGAGCAACCTGTGACCTTGGCTTGGCTGCCCACCCACCTCGGCCCCCACCCTGACAAAGCATTTGTGGTGGCCCAGGCCCAATATTCTACTCTGCTCAAGACGCCTCTGAAAACCACTGCTTCTGTGATGCTTTCTCTAAGGAACTCAGGGAACACCAACGTCCTCTCTTCTCTAGAATCTTGTATGTAATTAGCTGTCCTCACAACATTGTCTCTGTCCGTCTCAGGGGTCCATTTCTGTTAGTATTCTATTAACCTTGAATATGCATTGGTTCTTTTATTGCTTACCAAATGTCCACGAATGAATTTAATGCATGTGTGTAAAAAATCATCATTATTACTAGTCACTAATTTAAAATTATCTTTGGAATTTAGGATTCCCGATTGTCATGTCCCTCAGGTGACTCCCTGAAAGCACAGGTCCCCCAGGAGGCCTGACCAGCACAGGCCCTGCCAGGTTCACCGCTGGGCTGCAGCCTTGATTTACCTGTTCACCTGTCTTTCACCGTGGCCGATCTTTTGGATAACTTTGCAGATAATCTTCCCTGGATACCTAGTCCTGTCTAAAATGTATAGCAATCCTTGTTTACCTGTTTGCTCAAATGTCCACTCAGTATTTCCTTGCAAGCCTCTCCCCGCGTCAGGGCCTCCACAAACACTTTCAGGCACGCATCTGTTCTGAGCTCAGGTGTGAGGAGCTTTCCTTGGCAACGAGGCTGCTGGCCCTGGGAGACCCTGCTTGGGGAGGGGATTCGCCCCGCACCCGCTCTCTGCCAGGCTCCTGCTCGGGCTCTCGCAGCGAGCACTGCAGCATTCAGATCTGTTTGCTCAGTACCTCTCCCGGATCCTTTATTTCCCTCCCTTCCACACTATCTCAAGGATTGGAACAAGAGTATACACTTTTTTCCTGTACATTTTCCCTCTCATATTTTGCACTTTGCTAGACTCTTGATTTATTGACAAATGCCCTGCCCACATTTTGTTACTTCATGTATACACAGCAGCATCAACTTCCATGGAAAGACCTTGCTCTCCAGCGTTGCCTTCAAATTGTTTCTTTTAATGTCAGTTGTCTCAACCTACGGGTTGTAAAACTTCAAAGCAGAACTGGATTTCTAAGTGGAAAGTCACCGGAGTGTAGTGGAATGTACTGCCCTTGGAGTCAGAAAACTCAGCTGTGAGTCCTGCCCCATGAGTGGTTGGCTGGAAAGAGTTTTTTTGACCATCATTTTCTCCATCTGTGGAAAAAACACAAAAAACACAACACGGATGTTGTGAGAGTGAAAGGTGTTGCCGTGTGTGAAAACATTCCGTGAATTCTAATATGCTGTAGGATATAAGGCAGGTCTTTCTTCTCACCTCTGGCTCACAGCTCTCTGTCCACAGGACCTGCTGGGCAGAGCCGGCGAGGAGAGGCCCCGAGAGGCGTGGGCCACACTGGGCGGGTCAGATCGCCTACAGCTTTTCAACTCAGCTGCAAAGCCCCATTCCTAGGCGTTTTTGGGTTTCTCTTCAGAATATACATTATGACTACAACGCCATTTTGGTGGTGGCATTTTTCAACGTTTTATATCTGCTTACCAAACATGGCCTTTTGTAGTCCTAAACCAGCTCTGCCAAATCTCTCTGACACATGCCAGGTCCTTCCGGGTTCTGCCTCACCTGGGTCCCTGTGTACCTGGAGCCGCCGCACTGGCCACCGGGCGCACTTCCTTCCAGTGGGCCCGCTTCCCCTGTGCTGGCTGCCAAGAGAAACACACTTGCTGGCCTGGCCCAAACGAGAGCCGCAGCCCTGTTTCCCCAGCTCCTCCAGCCAATCCTCACCTGCCAAGGGCTGCTGGGTGCTGCCCCCATCCAAGGCCTCACTGCTGTGGCTCCAGACCCACTGGCAGCCCCTGAAGTCCTACCCGCCCCACCAGCCTCCCTCCCCCCTTGGCAGCCTGCTTCTGAGAACCCCCCAGGAACCCCCCTGCAATAACACCCCCTTACCCCACTCCTGCCACCCCCACCCCGAGACAGCCCTCAGCCATCCATTGCTCCCCACTCCCAGGCTGCCCCGCCTCGGTGCAGGCAGCCCCAACTCCCTCCCAGCCGGCCCTGCGCCTCCTCCCTGGCGCACTAACACCTAGGACCAGCCCTCCTGGATCCCCTGGATCCCAGTAAGCAGGTGTGTTCACCCTATCAGACGCCTTTGAAAGTGAGCATTTTCCCCCGCCTCTGTGTTTGACTCGCCCCTGCCCCAACCTAGTGCCCACTCCCGGATTGGGGGGTGGGGGGCATGGCATATTGGAGGGGACTCCGGGGGACCACAGGCCACAGGCTCGGGGTCGGTGGACCCCAACAAAGTTTGGACACTAGGACTTGCATCTCTGGCTCCCCAAACTTGGCCAGCCAGGTCCATGGCTTTCGCTCCCCGGATGCCCAGCGCCCCCATGTTCTGGCTGCTGGGTGGGGGACACCACACGTTGGCCTCCAGGACTAGGCAGGGCCGCTCCCCCAGGCTTCCGGGGTCTGTGGCACGGGGGGCGCACGGCTTCTATGAGCTAGGCAGGGTGGGCCAGGTGACAGGCCTGCTGGTCGGGTTAGGGGTGGGGGTCTGTTCAAGACCTCTTTCCATCCAGGGCCCTGGGGGCCTCCAGGGCGCGGTGCAGCAGTGCGGCTCCCCTCCCAGTGTCTCCTTAAAAGCGCGCGCGCCTGGCTGTGCGTGAACTGTCGTGCTGGTGTGTGTGTGTGCGCGCGCTCGAATGTGGGTCTGATGTGTGTGTGCGCGCGCGCGCGTGTGCGCTGTCTGTGTGTGAGCTGCCGTGCAGATTTGTGTGTGCTCGTGTGTCTGTGTGCAGATGTGTGTGCAGATGTGTGCTCGTGTGTGTGCGTGCAGATGTGTGTGTGTGTATGTGTGCCGGCGCGCGATGGTGTGTGCGCGCGCGCGTCCCCGCCCCGGCCGGGCGCCAGCGGACCCGGAGGACGACAGGAAGGAGGAGTTATGTAGATTACGGATGAACGTTCTGGAGGGACGAGAGCAGCGGCGGCCCTTCCGCAGGAGCCCAGCCGGAGGCGGAGGAGCAGGGCGCAAGCGGGGCAGACGCGCGGGCGGGACGCGGCACCGGGCCCGGCCGGGCACTCGGCGATGATGGTGACCGCGGGCCGCCGCTGACCTGCCTGCGCTGCTCCTGCTGCCGAGTGCGGCCCTGCCCCGGCGGCCGTGAACCTGCGGGCTCCTTCCCACCAGGACTTTGGAAAGGAAGCGGGAGGGAGGGGGGCCGGCGCCGGGAGCTCGCGTGTCCGCTGGAGCACAGTCCACTATGGTCCTACTCGCCCTCGGCTCTGGAAGACGGCTGGATTTCGTGCATCATTCGGGGGCGGTTTTTTTGCAAACCTTGGTTTGGATTTTATGTGCTGCCGTCTGCGGAACGGAGCAGTATTTCAATGTGGAGGTAAGGGTACCAGGCTGGCCACCATCCCCTGGCTGGGCCGCTCCTGACACGCTTGAGTCCGGGTCGGGGCTGCCCAGAGCAGCCGGGGTCTGCATGGTTCCCCCTCCAGCCAGACCAAGTTGAGCTTCTCCATCTCGGTGATGGATGCGCGCAGACCGAGTCCGTTATCCCCACGGCACAAAAGATGCTTCAGGCTTGGCCACGGCGGTGCGTCCCGCTGCCATCAGGAGAGGCCGGCATGGGGCTCAGAGAGGCAGCCCAGCTCCGGTTCAGGGCGAATCAACTGCTTGGGGACCCAGGACCCAGGGCTGGCTGTCTGGCATCCCTGCTGCCTGGGCATTGTTCCGGGAACCTTCCCGGTGTTCTGTGTCTAACAAAGGAGGCTAAAATCAGAAACGGGAGGGCAGGGGGGACACTGGCTCTGTTTAATCGCGTTGCTTTGTGACAAAACATTTAAGCAGGCAGAGTCTTTTCTTCATTTAGACCTAAGTTAGTACAGGGGAACTGGAGCTGGTGACGCTGAGGACGTGGAATCAGCTCTCTTTAAGTGTGTCCTCCTCCCCTCCCCCGCCTCGAACATCAACGTGGCCCAGTGTAATAGTTCCGAGGTGTGTTTTTAATTTGATTTAACACTCTTCTGGCAAAACGGGGAGGTTTTAGACTGTCTTTGGCTTTGCTTGGGTAGCTCTGGAAACGCAGACACAAAGCCAAAAGGAACTTAAGGGTAAGGACCTGTCAGACCTCTGCCCGGGTGGCCGTGCTGTCATCGGCTCTGCGCCAAAGCCGTGGGAAGCCTGTGTCCACCTGGGCTCCGATCGCGCTTGTCACACACCCTGTGGAGAAGGCATATCCAAGGTTTTGTAAAAAATCCTCCTGTTCATTAGGTCTCTCTGTCTTCTGACATATCAGAAGAATTAGGGTAAGTCTGAAGAATGATTGATTTTTTTTTCCTTTTCTTATGTGGTACATCCTTGAATGCTCCCTGCCCTTTTGTTGGGAGTGTGTTTGCACTCTAGCGAGACCTGTTGCACAGTGTTTGAACACGTTTCACGGGGCAGATGCACACACGAGAAGTGCACAAGTGCCGTGAGCCAGGGCACTGTCTGATGTTACTCACTCTGTGCCATCGGTAGAGAAACAAAGTATTTGAAAAAGTAACAACCATTATCAAATGAGTTGAACAAGTTCACAGATGTTAAGGATGATTCTATTACACAGAAACCCCAACTGGAAAACCAAAGTTGTTTAACCATTGTTTTTCTGGACAGGAAGAGAGCTAGAAAGAGGACGAATGTCCAGAGTGTTCTTGATGGCAGATCGAACTTGTGGATGGCATGCCACAGATGGAGGCTTGCAGCTGAAATTTCAGTCAGGAGAGAATGTGATGTTGAAAGGAAGATGTAAGAGTTCCGAGACTGGAGGGTGAAGGTGGCAGGCTGTGGTTTATGGTGTTATAAACAGCTGGTGCTGGTGGTGATGGGAGCGAGGTGGGCCCCGGGGGTGGGCACTGTGGCCGAGGAGGCCTGCCTGCTTGGGGAAGGCTTAGATTGGCTTGCAGACATCCTTGGGGTAGCATCAGTGTTTTCATGATGAATAATTACCTTTTTGAGGCTAAACATACATTTGGTTGTGTTTCTCCATAGTTGGGATTTCTCGTCAGCTCAGTCAGATATAATCATGCAAGAAAAAGTTATGATTTTACCCACATTTAAAAGAAATTTAAATATCCATTTTATCTTTTCCTTCAAAATATATCTGGAAAAATGTTTCTGGGGGAAAATTATTTATTTTCCTATTTTTAGAGCATTTAAGTTATTCCATCCATGTTTATTATACAATGCAAAGATTTAATTATGGGAAGAACAGAGGCGTGTGTCATCTGAGACCGTAAAAAGATTTTCTAATGGAGATTTTGTGATAATTTAGAGATGATGTTTTATGGTTTTATTTTTCCCAAGCAGTTTTCTTTAAAGCGCTTGGGCATGGCCTCGGGGGTACACACTTCCTGGGGCGTAAGGACCACCTCTCCTTTTCCCAGGCACAAGCGCACTGCTGCCAGCCCACCCCGTGCAGAGTGTGGGGCGCCAGGCTGTTCTGACAGGAAGTTCTGCCCGACTCACTTTTGTTAGATGCTTCTTTTCGATAGGAAAACCCTGATGGGAAAAACAGGCCATTACATCTTCTTCAGAAAAGGCACTTCGATTGTGCGTCTCCTCCTCGGTTGCAAAGCCTGCACAGGCACCTTTTCGTCTGATTGACTGTCAAGGGCAGTCTTAAAATAAACAGTGATGGGGTCAGCCATGCTCAGACCCCTGTTTTCTGGCAGCACACGTGCTGCTGTGGTCGGGAGGAAGCTCCCAGAGCCCTTCCCGCTGGCCACTGAGCCTGGGAAGCTCCCTGCCCCAGGGCAGGCGCGGCTGGCAGACGTCCTTCCCACCCCTGTAATTTAAGGTTGAAAGTCCTCTTTTCTTCCTCCTGGAGGTGGGGGATTGGGTAGACATATTTATGTTAACTCTTTCCTGTCTGATTTCTAAGAGCACAAACATTCGGAATTGTCCATCATCAGCGCAGGAGATTTGGTAATAGGCTGGTGAAAGGCTGCTACAGAGACTGCCTTCCCTGTGGCTTTGTTTTTAGGAGGCAGAAAGGGGCGTGTGCAGCTGAGGCAGGGTCAGGGGTGCGGGGGCGCAGCTCACCAGCAGGACCGATTTTAATGCAGTCTTTCCAGCGCACGCCTGTTTATAGGTTTTTGTATGTTGTCAGATCCACTTTGGGGAGTGGGCTTTCCGTGTGGGGGTTCTCAGATGCCCGGGGGAAACCTGGCTGGCAGGGACTTCGGGTCAGGATGCTGCACCGGACAGCGCCCGCAGCTCAGCTGGCCGCTGGGCGGGGAGACGACCTGTTGGCCAAGAGTCCCTAGGATACTTGTCTTGTCACTGTGGGGATTTTCACGTTGCTGGGCTTTCTTTGTGTTTTGTTCTGTACACTGCAAACATTTGGGTGGTGACATCTGAGAGTACAGAATAGGATAGCAATAACTTTCATCCTCAACTTGGCTAGTTTGTCAAATGTTAAACAAATGTTTTTATGTGTTGTTTTTTTTTAAACAATAGCACACATTTCTAATGAGGGAAATTATTTAAAGCCAATTTGATGGTAACATCAAAACGTGATTGTCTGGGGGTACTGTTCAAAGCATAAGAAAATGACTTCGTTTAACAAAAAGCTTGATAAAGAAAAAAATAATTTTGTTGTTTTGAAAGAGAGAGTGTGGATTTCGAAGGGATCTTAGTGATAAATAGGATGAATTGTGACGGCAACCCTTTCCTACATGTTCCCGGCAGCATGTCCCCCTAACTGACTGGCCCTGATTCACTGTTGTGGGCTCCTGGGTGCACCCGGAGGTCAGCGTCGGCGTGGCAGGCTCTGTGCTGCTCATCACCTTGGCGGTGAAATGTCCCCGAGAGAAAAGTTTGCATCATGCAGATTTAATCTGTCATGTGTTGGGGCCACTGTGTTCATGTCTCCTGTTTCTCCTCATGTCTGTAATCAACACTGTTCATTGGCTCGTGGAAGGATGGTTCCCCACAACCCGGTCAGCTTCCTTGACTAGAGACTGACTATGTCCCACTGCTGATGCAGGTCAATGACGGGCTGTGTGACTGATTCATAAAGGTTTCTGTCAGAAACCCCCAGCTGCAAGACCCCCAGCTCTATGAGACACCCCCAGTGGGCTGGTCAGACTGCTCCTCAGGACCAAAGACAATGACTAGGAGACCAGGACCTTCCGTGGTCCTGGGTGGTCCGCCCTGTTTGGCTGTTCAGAGCCGCCTGGTCAGGACTCCCAGATTAGGGTCATGCATGAAGCTCCTTCAGGGAAGCAGATGCCAGCCTGGCAGGTTGTCCTCCTGACCCCATGAGGAATCCACAGAGAAGAGCCAGCCACGCCTAGCCACGCCCAGCCACGCCCAGCCCTTCTCCACAGATGAGTTTTTTCTCAGTCTCTTCCTCCTGTCACGTACCATAGAGTTGGGTTCAATTACAGCTTTTTCTTTTTTTTTTTAATCTCTGGAGCCAGGTTGAAAACAACATATCCAAAGTTTCTACTTTTTCTTATTCGTGCCTTTTCAGGTTAATAACAAAGGAAGTTTAATGCACTTGTTTAGTGGCATAGTTCTTTTCTCTAAAGTTGGATCAATCAATTGTTTTATGTAAATGTTTTCATGGCTTGCTCCAAGTGTACCTGTTCAAAATATTTGGTAAATGACCAATTGCAATTATTTTGGGACCAAAAACGAGCCATTAAAGCTTTGAATCAAATAGTTAAATTTATTCGATGTCAGAAGAGAAAGGTTTCTTATTTTATGCTTCTTCAGGAACTTTCTGACCCTTCAGAATGTCTATTTCATATCGAGAAAGTCATTTTTCATATTACATTCCATCACAATATATTTTAAATATCTGTGAATGCAATTATATCCATCTGCACATCTCTGAAATGAGAATTCCTAATAGTATCTGCCTCATAAGGTTGTTTTGATGATTAGATATATCTACATCACATTAGATAGATGGGTGGGTGGATAGATAGAGGCTTAGAGAGATATGTAGATGGATACAAAAGTAGATGATAGATAGATAGATAGATAGATAGATAGATAGAGAGATAGATAGAAAGGAACATGCCTGGGCATGGTTAAACACTCAATACTTTTTAGATGTCATTATCATTAGTAAAAATAAATGCTGATTCAAAGGTAACTGGCATGATAGCATATAATTACATAAAAGTCTATCAGTTGGGACATACCAGCTGGTCTAGGAAGATTTTCTTTTCATGCCTCTTTTATTTTTGAAAAGTGTAATAGACGGAAAGTCAACCAAGCCAACACCAGTACATTTTCTTCCCGTGGGTTTTTCTTAGACAGTTTAGTTCAGCAACGTGATTTTCACATTTTGTCTTGTCATCTGCTACTACCATAAAATGTCAAGTTCAGCTC